TCGCTTTCACCCAAGTTTACAGTCCCAAGACTGTGCAGTAGCCATCACTTGCACCCGCGCCGGCAAGAGCTTGATACTTGAGTTCGCGGGAGTCAAACTCCGGTATCAAGCTCTTGCCGGCACTGTCTATTTTACCGATGGGTAGCGCCAGAAACATTTGGCTAGTTTGTCTGGCCATCTGGCCCTGCCGTGGCTACTTTGACGCTTGAGTTGGCCTTTTTGGCACGATCTCACCACACTTTCGGATATTTTGTCTAGGATGTCGCTCCAGGCCTCCCGTGCCCGTGATACGATGGGCTTGGGTCATATGTACATAATTCCCAACCCTCGCCCTTCTGACGTTGTTGTTCTGTACCGGTGGATAGCTTAATTACCCACGGGCCACCCGCCGGCTTCAGAAAAAGTTTGGTGTCGCATTTTTCCCGGCACGATAACATCGCACCCCACCGGTCGATGCTATCTATGCTATCGCGCCTGGGGAAAATGCGACCCAGTATTCCAGGTGAAACGTGTTGGATCGCATGATCCATAGGCGCGATAAAATTGCATCCGGCGTGCGATCCAACACTTTTTCTAATGCGTTCCTTTCTCTTCCACTTCTCACGCGACTCAGGGTTCTGTACCTGAGGCTTCCACGTTGTCTCTCTTTCTTCAGTCATTCCGGCAGGGTATAAATAGACCCTGCCTTGTCCATGTTCTTAGCTCTGAATAGACGACCAAAACCAGCTTCCACAAAGCTTTCATCGGAGCTTTCACAGTTCACCAATAGCGCCCCTTACACCTGTAACGAGTCCATTTACCCTGGTCTAATCCAGCGATCAAAGTAAGGCCCTCTTAACTCATAGTTGCAGCAGCCTATTCCAACAAGCGGCCTGCGGGTGGCAGTAGATTGACTCAACGAGAATCTTTTTGCAGAGCCTCCCGAACTAGCCGTATCCGCAAAGAGCACCTCCAAGCATCCAGTCAGTCCGAGTCTCAGCCTCCTCAATTACCGACATCCTGTACGACTTCCGACCGACGACTTCACCCAGCACCACAAGTTCCTGAAACCAGGCATGAAGTCTTTCACCCTCACCGCCTTGCTTTGTGGGGCTACTTTCGCTTCAATCGTTGGCGCGATGAATGTCATCATCGGGGCAAAAGAAGTGAAGCCCGCGATCCCCGGAGAAGGTGTTGCCGCGGTCAGCACCGAGATTTTCGAGTGCAGATACTGCGCCGGAGCTGGTTGCCGAAGGTGCCGGCCGAATGCTTATTAGTTTAAAAGTCGAGTATACCAAGCAAAACCACCTAGATCCCCCCCCCCCCCCAAAAAAAAAGAACCTTTCGACATAAGATACCTTTGAATTATATATGTATAATTGGTCGGTATCAACCCAGTTTAAACCAATGAACTTGTCATGACAGAGTATGGGTTTACACAAATTTACATATTTTCACATGTCCATAGTTTATTATACATTTAGTTTTATTCAACAACCAAAGTAATTATATACTTATTTTCCCTTGGGGAAGTTTCACCTATAGTGATCTAACAATCCCAGCCAAATATGATGTGTCAGCCTCTGGAGGACTAACCTGGTTACTGACGGTGTTGTACCTAGGTGTGTTGATGAGAAATGTGGTTTGCGGGCGTGGAGAAATGTGATGGTGCTATGAGAGCATCTCCACCACAGGTGGTAAATTGGGGTTGTAAGCCACCCATATGGTAAGAAAACCCAAAAAATTCACCCCTCTGGGTGGCAAAAAAATGTGATTTTTTAGGCCAATCTGCCCAGAAAAACCAACCTCCAGTATGAATTCCAGTTTAATTCCAAGTCTCAGACCCACACAATTTGCCCACCACCCCCCATCTGGCTATTTAAGAGCCCTTGTAAACCAAGTTTGGAGGCTACACCGGGTCATCTGAGGTGACCCTTGCTGCCCCGCTAGCTAAGGTTATATACCTTGTAAACCAAGTTTGGAGGCTACACCGGGTCATCTGAGGTGACCCTTGCTGCCCCGCTAGCTAAGGTTATATAAGCAGCCTGTTGAGCTTGGAACCCAAGGTTCCATTGGCTTCCATGGCTGCAAAGGGGCTGGGCATTGCAGCATCTGCGTGAAAAGGGTGTTACTAAATATTGCCAGTTCCTTGGACTTCAGCCAAGGCCAGAAGGGATCACCTTTGGCCTTCAAGAAACTTCAGTCTCAATGGCCAGAAGTGCCCCCACTGGTCAACAAGACAGTTTCAGTTGCAATGACACAAAAATCTCCCCTCCAGTCACCAAGACTGTTTGTTCTCAATGACTGGAAGGAATCTCTTCCCCTTCATTCTTGATGGCCAGAAGGGCCCCCTCCAGTTAACAAGACTTTTCAGTTTTGATGCCCAGAAGAGCCCCCTCCATTCATCAATGGTCAGGGGCCAAAGCCTTTTGTGAATGAACAAAGTGAAGTGTGTAGTTTCACCATAGCATGATTGAATCACAAGTTATTTTTTGATAATTGTCAAATTTTCAAAGCATTGGAAATACCAATCATGTTTCTGCCTTGAAAAAAACAGTAGATTCTGAAGTATTGGTGCCCAGGGGTATTGAATAGAAAATGACTATTTACACTTCATTATCCTGATATATGTTATGATATGTATATAGCTTCTTGCTTAATTTTACCATTCACCATGTAATTGCACCTATTCCACAAGTTTTTTGTTCAGATTTAATTGGTGTAATCACTTGGTTTTGACACAGGTAATCTGATTATTGAAAGTGGTGTCACACAGGTTTTGTTTTATGTGGTTTATGATACTTACACAACACAGAGTTCTTATTTTATAATAATTCAACTGCTTATAATCACCATATATTACAAATCTTTCACTCAGTAAGTTATAAATAGAAAAGATTGTGCAATTAAAAGCAAGGTGACTTGTAACATAATCACAATTGTTTTTTCTTAGCATTAAATATATTTTTAGTAATTTTATTCAAATTCCCTTTTAGGAATGTTCAACTTTCAATCTTGATCAAGAAAAATGTTGTTTATCAAGATCAAAACTGCCTCAGCTAACTGCTTGGACATGCCAGTCCAACAAGTCATCAGACCGGCCTGCCCAAGCAGCTCTCGGACATAGCCGTCCAACAAGTTGTCAAACCTGGCTTTTCCAAGCTGTTGACAGTGGAACAATCTGCTTGGACAGGTGAGTCCAACCTCTCGTTGGACAACCATGTCCAAGAACTGCTTGGACAGGCCGGTCTGAGGAAAATATTTTTGTGTTTGAAAAAGAAAAAATAAATAAGATTTTGATTTGATTTGAAGAAACATGACATATAAAGCATTTTCAGTTTGAAAAGGAATGAAGAAATAAGAATAAAATGTGTTTTTGTTTGAGTTTGAAAATGAATTCAGAAATAACAATTTCATTTGGAGAAAAGAAACAATAGAGATGAGAAGACAACAATCAAGGGGCCTACACAATTACTCTTTGTCTTCTTCCTCATCAGACCCCTCAATTTCCAACATTTCCTTCTCCTTTTGTTTTCTTTTTCTTCCCTCTCCTTCTCTTCTTGCAACTTGTGTGTGAAGATTTCCTTTTGTTTTTTTTTGGTAAGAAGTGTGGCATTTGTTGTCCATTGAGCTTAAATCTTTTGACATGATTGCCTTGTCCAACGTCATTTGGGTCACAGCTTTCATTGATTCCAGACAGCTGCGCGAGATCTGAACAAGCTCCTTTTGCATGCTCACCATCTTCTTGATGGAACAGTCCTTGGTTTGCTTTTGTTTTGCTGCCTTCATACCCTTGACACATACATTTCTAAGGACAGATTGGCTGGCTTCCAACTCACGGTCTTTGATGTCAATGACAGCAGGACTTGAGGCCACAGGGATGGAGCTAGGGATGTCAGATGAAGGTCCAGATTTTGATTCCTTGGCCTTCTTTCCCCAAGCTTCATTCTCTCACTGAATAGCCTGTCACTTTAGGGTGTCCTTCAAGATACCCCAGCAGTGGTCGAGGTTGAAAGTTGAACCAGAGGTGGCCTTGTAAAGCTCTTTGGCTTTGGTAAGCTTAATGAAACAATCATTTTTTGTTGGTATGTCAAAGAGAGACTGAGAAAATCATAGCACAAAGTTTGAAGAAAAAAACATACAATATCTTCTTGGGTTTTTCTGCTCTTCAAACAAAGTTCAACATTTGAATAGCATCAAGTGAAATTGTTTACAAATTTGAATATGAGAGCCCAACAGCATTCAACGGCTCCAACAGGTTGTAAAGGAAGCGGTTTGAAGTCTTTGACGTGTTTTTTACTGTCATTGTATTTGACTATGAGTTCTGAGAGATGTTGGTGGATTTGATTGCAGAAGGTGGTGGCCTTTTCCCCTTTGCCAACGATAGCGTCTCAACTGGTGTTCAACCAAGCAATACAGAGTTTTTTGTCCTCTTCAAAGGACCAATGTGGGAAGCCTTTTTTGGCTGCTGCAGAGCTATCATTGGGTTGTAGAGGGTCTTTGTTGTTGATATCCAACTTGTCCACTGGCTTCAGGGTTTCACTGTAGAGATTGTTTGTTTGTACTTGGGCACCTGTTCATTTTTTCAAGAATATAGATACCATGCACCACACCAGCAGTGGGCCGCTACACGTTTGGCCAAAAAAGCTTAGCATAGCGGCGCTTTTTTGCATCAAAAAAATGTAGTGTTAGCGTTTTTTTAGTGGATTTTTGCTACACTATGCTGCGCTACAGCGCTTTTAGCGGCAAAACCAGCCCACAAACCGCTAAAAAGTGCTGCAGCGCAGTGTAGTGGGCCCTTTTTTGCAGCCCACACGCGTAGCGTTAGCGGTGTTGTGGCGGAATTCCGCTGCTCTATGCTTAACACTAACAGGAATTCCGCTGGTTTACGCTACACTAACCGCTACAGTTAGTGTAGCGGCCCACCGTTGACCGCACCAGGCACCTCCCGGCGGGTACCGCGGGTACTTCCCCTCTCTTTTTCACTTAGTTCCACTAGCTATCTCAACATTACTTCTTATCCTGTACTAGATATGTGGTAAAATGAAACTGGATGTGCTGTTTTTTTTTTGCTTCTTCACACTTTTTAACAAAAAAAATGACAATAAAATTGCATATCCAGTTTTTTACTGCATATCCAGTACTGGATATGAAGTACTGTTGAAAGTGTATATATAGTCAATTTTTTCAATTTTTTCATATTTATTATAAAATATGCAGCCCTCCCTCCCACCCTATGTAAGGGAATTAGGGTGGTACCCGCGGTACCTCCTGTTTTTTCCCAAAAACAGACACCTGGCACCTCCTGGCAGGTGCGCAGCGGGTGCCGGAGGTACCCCCCAAGCGGTACTAGGTACATAGCAAGGAGTACCGTGGAACAATCTCTATTTCACTGGGATCCTTGTTTTTTGGGGTGGATTTTGGGCCAGTTTTCCTTTTTTTCTTCCTTGTAGAGCGTTGCGTAGAAGCCCAAGTGATGTTATCCATGTTTGTGGGGTTGGAGGAGTGCATTGGGTCGAGTGGAGTCAATTGCGGCTGGGAGGCAACCCGCAGAAGTCAGGGTACATAGTGCGGTTTTGATTGCCCCCGGGGATGAGTCCAGGGTTGTTTTGCAGGGCCGCGCAAAAAGGCAACCCGGGTCGCCAAAGTTCTCCCCCAAGCCCCCAGTCGCAGGTCCGTTAGATTACAACATTGGTGTCATTCACATGCCCTGAGAAGCAAGCAAATGGGTTGGCATTTAATTTCCGATACAAATTTACGCTCAACAAGTACACTTGGATGAAAAGTTTGCCAGGGAGAGTCCAAAATGGATGATGCATAATATCAGCAGTAGGAAAGAATGATCTATTCAGGACACCCCGCAAATAAAACATGGCTAGCGCATCTCAAGAATAGAATGTGCGCGATACAAGAAGTGAGGAACAAAAAGACACATGGAGTGGATGACCACCAGTATTGAAATCCCTACAATTCAAGTCGAGCACCAAGTCTCTTGATGACAAGGTGAAGAAGTGATTTGGACATCATTTGTTTTTCTCTCAATAAAAATTGAATATGACAGAGTACAAGAAAAGACCAAGAGGTGTGTTTGTTATTGTAGTAATTTGATCGTCATGAGTATAAAAAAAAGAAATCTGGAGCTTGATGAGAGAAAGCTCAGTTGGATTTGATCCTCAACAACGGGGTTTTTTTTGATTAACCCTCAGCTTGGAACTGAGTCAGTCGGGCGACGTGTCTATCGAGAAAAGGAAAAAAGTTTTCAGAGAATGTTCCAAACAGGTGATCCATAACCTCATCGACCGTCTGAGGGGGATAAGAAGGGACCATATTCGAGCGGATGAAGTCCAAGGAAAAGTTGACATCATGAATGATCCGCTCGACATCGGGCTTGAGGTCCCAGCTGAGCTTCTCCTCGCCGTCGGCAACAGAGTGCATGTAGCCGATCAGTCCAAAGACGTGGTTCTCAAACTTTTCAGAGACAGCACTGAAGCTTTCGAGCGCGGCCGAGCTCATGCCTTCAGCAAATTTGAAGAGACGTGTGGAGCCAATCTTTCGGGAGAAGAGTCTGCACATCTTGAGCAGGACCATGGTTTGGTCCAGCAGTTCGAGAACAGCCGGTATATGTGGGGCGTAGTCTGGCTCAGTGCGCGCAGGGTCCAGGTTGTTTGTGAAGTTGATACAGACTTGGATGTATGACATATAGTGGCCCAACATGACCTGACAGTGAGTCCACATGGATTGGATGATATCGAAGTTTGATCCGCGGATGATGTTCAAGATTCTGGGGATCATGATTTGGATTCGGCCAGCTGCCCCAGCGTGTTGGGGCGCGTTGGAGCGGTCTAACGGTTTGAATTTATAATCGTAATATTGGCCATGAGAAACAAAGGAAGAGATTTCAACGAATAAGCTTGGGAGATCATCTTTCATGAACTCGGTAACCGTTTTCTTCAAGTAGTGAGATTTGAATTGGTGCAATTGGCGATAATTTTGATCGATCAGTCGACAAATTTCTGGATTGGAGTAATCAGGAGGAAGGACGGAGCGGGCCAGGTCTTCCACGAGGCTAGTGAACCTAGGGACGATTTCTAAGGCTTCGCCGAGCTTGGGCTGGGGAGAAACCGAGTCTTTAGCAGGTAAGTCTAAGACTTCGAGTAGTTCGGTGACTAGGTCACTAATGGCAGGTAGCACGGTGGTTTCAACTCGATTCAAGTTTTCTAGTCGGGTCTTTAAATCTGCCTCTGGTGAGACTTCTTCCTCCTCTTGGGAATTGGATTCGCGGGCGCGGTGATGGCATAGCCTAATTAACTTGGAGAGCTCGGCGGCGAGAGCTGCACGACGAGAAGAAAAAAAAAAGGAAAAAAGGACAATGTGAGGAAAGAATAATATAACACATACAAGTAGAAAATGTATAGTCAGTTTTAGTTGATAGTCCTTGAGGCTAAAAGACGAAGTTCAAGGGAGAAGAAAGAAATATTTACCCGGGGCGGTCTGCCGGGCCGACATGTCTAGGTTGAGGGTGCCAAGTTGGTAGGCTGATGGCGAGTGGGGTTGGTGTTATGGTAAAGGATGTGCGGCGAGATATGATGAGGACTATCGGATCAGGAATGAGTAGAATGGACCACCAGATGGTCCTCCAATGTGCTCCTTTTATAGACGTTATTATAAGACGATGGGCTGAGCCAGGCCACAAGGCTTGTTTTTTTTTGTTGTTGTCTCAGTGGGGATGAATGCTAGGACCGCCGGGAATGGTACAAACGCTGCTGATATATTGATGGAAATGGACCGGCGAGCGAAAGCGTTGTGCGTGCAGCTGCGGCCGTCTCCCATTTCCCACTGATGGCCGGTAGCGGCGATGGATGGCTCTCTCTCGTCAGGCTGAGCGTTCACTTGGAGCCTAGATGATAGATCATGGACTGATCACCATCCGGCTTTTGCTCATCTGCCCGTTCCGACTCCCTGTGCCGAAACAGGAAAAAAAAAACACCCCGTTAATCTCACTCAGCCCCGGACTGAACTCCTTTCTGGCGAAAAAAAAAAACAGTCATCATGGAGCGCTCTTTGCCTGACTATCTTACCAATCCCGGACAGTCAAAAGCTCCGCCATCCGGAGTATTAATTAAGGCCGGCTTCGCCATCAGTCCTTCTCCAACCCCCGGCCCCTGAACTTCTTAATTATTATTGAACCTGCCTCTTGAACCTGCCTCTTGATTGATGAGTCTGGAGGGTCTCCGCGACCCGCCTCGACGCCGGCGCGATCAGCCTCTGGAGAGAGACTCAAGAGGCTTCATCTCCGCGCGGCAACTGGGCCGTCCCTATAAGCATCCTGATAAAACACATTTATGAGGATTTGTTTATGTACTTTATAAACAGTCTGACCGAAAAAAAAAAAAAAAAAAAGCTCCGCCATCCGGAGTATTAATTAAGGCCGGCTTCGCCATCAGTCCTTCTCCAACCCCCCGCCGCTTGACTTCTTAATAATCATTGAACCTGCGGCCTCTTGATTGATGAGTCTGGAGGGTCTCCGCGACCAGCCTCGACGGCGGCGCGATCGGCCTCTTAAAAGAGACTCAAGAGGCTTCATCTCCGCACTGCAACTGGGCCATCCCTATAAGCATCCTTCTTGCCCCCGATCAAACACATTTTTTTTATGAGCTTTTGTGTATGTACTTTATAAACAGTCTGACCAAAAAAAAAAAAACAGATGCCCAGGTTCCTCCTAATGTCTGTGTAAACACATACTCATACTCCAATACCCCAAACGAACAAAAAGTAGAATCTCATTCTTAGGAATGGCGCTTGATCATAAGCTGGTTGGATATTGAAATGACGTATTCATTCGGATACGATATTACATATTATATGTTAGCCAAAAGAAGAAGAACAACAACACATAATTAACCCCTTTTTTTCAGGGTTTTTTTTTTTTTTTTTGGTTTTTTTGAATGAAACAATGGACACGAGATGTTTTTTTTTGGGGAGGGGGGGGGGGGGGGTTGATCATCGAAAGATGAGACCAACCTTCAACAACATATAAATACGCCTAACCATATATATAAAAGAAATGAGTGGTTTTTCAAGTAACGAGTAAAAAAAAAAAAATGAAAAACCCCGCAGATTCAACGCCTTCCAGCCCAGCCAACAAAAGAGCGACGAAGAAGAAGCAGCCGATTATTGATTGGACGGAGGAGGAGCAAAAGGGAGGGCCGAGTCGAAGGCGAGATTGAAGTCGAATTTCAAGCCGAGGGCGTCCAGACAGGCGCGTCTGAAGCCTGCAGCCTTGAGATCGGAGAGCATCATTGGGCCGGGCTCGAAGAGGGCGATACCCGGGCTATCCAAGTCCTCCTCCTCCTGCTGCTGTTGCTGCTGATCATGGCTACGAGAAGAAGACAAATGATGGGAAGACAGGTGATGATGGTCGCGACGTAATTCGAGGACGAAGCGATTGAGTAAGCTGGTGAAGCGCTCGAGGATCCCGGTTAAGTGAGCTCTGCGATCGCGCAAGACTTGCGATTGGTGGTCGTCGACTTGATGAGAAGAAGAGGAAAGGTCGCTGAGAAGGGAGGGGATGAGTTCGAAGGACCAGGCCTGAAGGAGGGCCAAGAACTCGAAACAACAGTCCAACAAGTCCACCATCATCCATCTCCCACCACCCCGATCCTTATTGTTGTTATGGTTTTGCGGTTCGAGGGCTAAGAGCCCGGTCTGGATCCGAGCGAGGAAGTGGGCATGGATGGCGAAGAAATCGGCACTGGTCGAGCTTCTGTTGGTGTTCAGACCCGGCTCCGCGGTTGAAGGATGGGGAGCCGATGAGGAGGAGAGGCTTTGGTAGTGGGCCTCGATGGCGGCCGAGAAGCTCTCGATGGAGGGCTCGATGACTTGGGCGAAGAAGTAATCGAGCATGGTGTCCAAGAACCAGCCGATCCTTCTGAGTCCTTCGAAGCCGACTCTGAGCAGTGCCCTGACCGTCTCAGGATCACCACCCGTGGCCTTGAGAGTGGTGGTGGTGGTGGTGAGCAGTCGACCATCGAGCCGGCTCCGGAGCCGTTCCTTCTGCGAGAGCTCGCGCCAGGCCTCCTTGTAGGTCTGTTGGCCGATCAGGAAGGCGAACAGACAACGATGGATGTCGGCGTAGGTCTGGCAGATCGGCTTGGTCAGGAAGAGGGACAGACCCGGCTTGGGGCTGTAGGTGAGTGAGACTGGCTGAGAGGATGAGAGGATGGAGCGACTGAAGCTGGGATCGGCGTTCTTGTTCTGAATTTTTTCCTCATCTTGATCTTGGTTTTCTGATGATGATTCTTGGAGGAGTTGGAAGGAGAAGCCTTGGATATCGATCGGTCGTCCGCCGGGGTCTTCGCCCAACTCGGTGCTGATCCCGGCCTTCAACAACAAGACGTCCAACTCCCGTCCGTTCATCCTGCGTCTTCCTCTTCCCCCTCCTCGTTCGCTTGTTGTTGTTTGGTTGGCTTTCAAACGGACGAGTCCTTCGACTAGGGTTTCCCTGAAGGTGGTGTTGCGGAGGAAGAAGATGTCGGTGATCGTCTTGAGTGTGGTTGAGAGGATCTCTCTGGTTAGATAGTTTGAAAATAGATAGTTGGATAGGATTTCTGGATGTATGTATTAAGCGCAATCAGTCTTGATACTCTGATTGGATGGAGATTTGAGTGGACGGACCTTGTATGTTTTTGAGTGCGATTCTGAAGTGTGGGTTGGAGATGGAGTGGATTGATTGGAGTGCGTTGGTGAGTTGTTGTTGGAGTTCTTTTGGGAGTCTGGTGGATAGGTTGTTGAGGATGGAGATGGCATGGCAGATCTGATTGATGGTGTGAAGCAGTTCGTGCCTGGGTTCTAGGGATGGTAGGATGGGTAGGTTGATTTTGTTGAATGAGAATTGGTTGTTGTTGAGGTGAAATAGTTCTTGTTTTGATTGGTGGATGATGAATGATCTGAATTGGTTGATCCATAGTTGTTCGATTGCTAGTTGGAGGTTGTTGAGGATGAGTGCTAGTGGTGGTGATCCGGTTGATGTTTGATGGTTGTGGATGAGTTGGATGAGTTGAGTAGTGGTTGTTGTTGTTGATGGTAGTTGGTTGATGAGTTGGTTGAGTTTGAGTAGGATGGGTTGGTAGTGGTTTAGTTGGGCAGTGATGGTTGAGAGTGGTGGTGCTGGTTGGTTGTGCTGGTTGGCTGGGACTAGGCTTGGATGGTGAGTGAGTAGTTTGAGTTCTAGGTCGATGAGTGTCTGTTGGTAGTGTTTGAGTAGTTGGTTGTTGATGGTTGAGTTGAGTGCGTTGATGTTTTGGTTGTTGTTGTTGCTAGTCTGTTGGGTGTGTTGTTTGATGAGTTTGTAGTTGGTTGCGATGTTGTTGATGAGTCTGAGTGGTGAGTTGTGCTGTTCTGCTACTAAGTTGTCCTCATGACCATGTCCAGCCAGGATGAGCAGTGACTCCTGGATCACTCCGTCCATCGTTAAGAGTGAGATTGAGCAGAGTTTTCTCCCCCGGCCATCATCAGAAGCGGGCCATTTCTGTTTTCCTTGGAATTATCAGATGTTAGTTATCGCACCAGGCCGTCCTCGATTTTTCTGCATGATCCCATCAGAGACATCAATCTGCTCAGTCATACCATTGGCAGGACCTAGGAAACCCCCTGTAGCAGTGGGTGAATCTACCAGCAAAAACTTAACACAATATCCACTGATTTCCCACCGGAAGGCCGGTCACTGGTGTTGGCCATTCGCAAATAGGCCACCTGCACTCCACTCGACTGCACCCATGACCACATATCCAGTACTGGATATCCTGTAAAAAATTGGGGATATGCTGTAATCAACACTTTCTGTTTCTTTTTTTTTTTCAGTAATTCCTTTGGTGTTTCATATAGATTCTGTAACTTTTCTTTGAATTTACTGAAAAGTTAGAGAATAGTTACAGTTAACTTGAAGAAAAGTTACCAAAAATTTACAGAATGCCCAAAATGAATCACAGAAAAAAAAACAGGAAAGTTTGGTGAAGTTACTTTAGCTTTTCTGTAAACTTTCTGTAACTCTTCTCTAACTGTTCTGTAACTTTGCATTAAATTAAAAAGAAAAGTTACAGAAGTTACAGAACACGCAAATGAATTGCCAGAAAAAAACAAGATCACAGAAACCTTTGACCACAGAATATCCCCATTTTTTACAGGATATCCAGTACTGGATATTTGGTCAGGGTTGTAGTGAGCTAGCTAGCTCCCAAGGCGGCAAGATTTTCCTAGCACAAGATTCTCAAAATTTTTACCAGTCCACTACCAAATGGATAGAAAATTATATAAGCCGCCCTTCAAATTGTGAGGTTGCTTCTGTCAGTAGCATACTCATTCCCTGTCACCAACACCTTAATTCAAATCTTAGGCTGGCCTTCATCTTTTACTTTAAACCGTCCATTGGACAACTTTGTCGGCATTTACGACCCTCGCAGAATTTGATTTACACCATGAACGTTGTGGTGTTCTAAACGGTACAGGCCCCCTCAAGCTTGAATTTCAAATTTTCAATATCCTCAAGACTCAAGATTTCAATATTATCACCTCAAATCCCCACTCAGTCCAATGGTTTCCTCATTTTATTATTTTATTTCATTTCCTCTTATTATTTACTCTTCATGTTATCTTTTTATTCATCTTGATTTTATTTTTTATCATTTTGTTATTCTTACTTATCTTTTTCAAATCACCTACTCAGAAGACAGTCTTGTTTAACTTTCTTGGTCCTAAGACATCTCAGGATGTTGGTTTATTTCACTCTTGATTATTTTGTTTTGTTTTGTTTTGTTTTGTTTTGTTTTGTTTTGTTTTGTTTTGTTTTGTTTTGTTTTGTTTTGTTTTGTTTTGTTTTGTTTTGTTTTGTTTTGTTTTGTTTTGTTTTGTTTTGTTTTGTTTTGTTTTGTTTTGTTTTGTTTTGTTTTGTTTTGTTTTGTTCTGTTCTGTTCTGTTCTGTTCTGTGTTGTGTTGTGTTGTGTGTGTAGTGTTGTGTAGTGTTGTGTACAGCAGTTCCCAGAAAGCTTGCGCTCACGAGCTCCTGGGATGTGATTTTTTTTATTTTCTTTCAACTTTTTTTTGCGCCTCGTAACCTGTACACATGATTGTACAGGTTGCGAATCTGCTGCCGAGGCCGGGTGAGGCCTCCGGGCCCCTGTCGGTTGCCTGGTGGGGGCTGGGTACAACGGGTGTGATGACCGCTTCCGACTCAAAAAAACAAGAGGAATCCAATGGTCCAACTCCCATATCTTCAACTTGAAAAATGGGGGAGTTGGGCCATGATGCCTGGAATATTATGGCTGTACAAGGCCACATACAGGACAGAAAAGCAAAGAAAACTCGAGGCACAAATAAAAAAAAATGGAATCCCAGGAGCTCGCGACAGCAAGCTTTCTGGGTAGGGTTGACGGCGCCACCCCTAGGTGCGCGCCGATGTGCGGGCGCCTCGCACCCTCGCCCACGGCGCGCACATTTTTCCAAAAAAGGGGGGTGTGCGCGCACTTCTAACCCTAATTTTTAGAGGGGGAGGGCTGGAGGCCGAGTGACTTTTCCAGTTTGAAAGGGCAACCCTGAAAGCTCCGTAAGCTAGTCCGGGAGTATGTCACCGCTTTGCTATGAGTTTCTAGCTTTTTTTTCACACATGTGAGTGCGGAAGACGTCTTGAGGCTTGCAGGTTGTATTGAGATTGGTACTGCCAATTCCAAATGTAGTTCTCTTAAACCTCCAACTTTTTATACAATAATAATATGTACTATGTACATCATCTTTCTATATTTTTGACGTGCCACCCACAAGAAATACAAGCAATTCAGAGCTGCAAGGATGGTCTAAGCCAACAAAATATCATGGTCTGCTATGGACTGGATTCTTAATGTCAAACATACGGACGGACCAATCTCAAAGGTGCCAAGCTAAATGTACCTACTGCCAAAGGGTGTTCAACCAAGCGAAGCCTGCCCAGCTTTTCTCTCATATCAAGGAATCTTCATTCACTTGTAAATAGCCTAACAACAATCCAAATACAACGGAATACAACGTATATATTCTTTTCATTGAAAAAAAAACCTCGCCTAGGCTCGCCGCTACTGCGCCTGCCAAAGGCGCGCACTTGGTGGTAGGTTTGTAGGCGCCCACTGGCGCGCACATTTTCAAATGTGGCGCCGTCAACCCTATTTCTGGGAACTGCTGTAGTGTGGTCTTGTTTTTGTTTTTTGGTTGAGTTGTGTTGTAGTTAGGGATGTGATGACATGTCTGTGACATGTCACTCCCCAGAGTCAAAGTTCAGTTTGAACTGAGATGATGGGGAAGCATGGCACTCTGATCTGATCCAAGATAGACCCATCAATTTTATTGATCTTTTCATTCTTGATACTTCTGATCCTCCTACATATCCTCAAGTTCACTCAAACTCAACAACCGCCACAGAAATCGATTTCTGTTGTCTCCTCTCAGAAAACCAGCCAACCCCAACGCTTTTTTTGTCCGGACCCCACTTGAAGGCAGCCCTCAAAGCAATTTCCCTTCAACCAACTGCCTACCGCCTGGCACAATAGGAGTTCCACAACGTCTTGATTTTTGGCAAAAAAAATCTCTCTTCAGAAGCCTTGTAGTGAAGGCCCTCTTGTGAGCTAGGTGTGGTTGTTATTAGAGTGTTAATTTAGAACTGAGAGAGGTCTAAAAAACACTCTAAATCGTGACGGGAAGTCCTCCAATTGCTTTGCCTTCTGCCCTATTTTTCTTCATCCTGCACTTCATCAATTGATCTTTGTTAGCCTGAATTAACCGGGTTTTTAATCCTGTACCCACCTTATCTGTCTCATCTTCCAAAAACCGTGTCTTCCTTTTGCACAATTCAACCCACTCGGAGCTGGTATTTTAATACAGACTTTTGAACCTCACGCATGTGGCTTTTTCTCCTATTATTAGTCTTGTACTACTCCTCCATCCATTCTTCTTCCTATTAATTAATTGTCTTCCAACCCTTTTCTCCTATTGTCTTTTATCTCCAACAACTCTTTCTTCCCTCTCTTGCTCTCCAGCACCGTTAACTATCACACTCCTTAACATCATTGTTCACTTTTGATCCAATCCTTAAATCATCCTCTATTTTCAATGAAGCAACCTGCAAAAACCAGTGATTCTACCACCACCAACTACCCCTTAGTTGCCAACATATATGATGTAGTTCACAGCAGATTCCTGTTCAACCTTGACCAAAATGATCCCCAACTCCATGCAAATGATTTGTAGTGTAGGAGCCAGTGCACCTTCTTTCCCAACCCCCATCCACTGCTTCACCATACCTGGCCAAACCAGGGAGGATGCTGATTCATTTTTTACTGCATGCGGGCAACTGTCTATTGGAATTTCAAATGCTCCCGGTCCAACCTTAAAGTGCTCTCTGTTGCGCCTAGTGGGAAGGGCTGTCCTATAGAGTTAGAGATGGGCAGGGATAATCTGTTGCGGATATCCGCTATCCGCTGGCGGATACCCACCAGTGCCAGCGGATACCCGCCAGAGGATGCGGATGTCCTTTCCCCCCCCCCCAAATCCCGGTGGATATCCGGGTATCCCCTGGGATACCCGAGACAAATGGCCGGCTGGAAGGGTTTCCTTCCAGTCGGCGAGGCATGTACCTCGTCAACTGGAAGGGTTTCCTTCCAGCCGGCGAGGTACGTGTACCTTGTCGACTGGAAGGGAAATGTACCTTGTCGACTGGAAGAAAAAGTACCTTGTCGGCTGGAAGGGTTTACTTCCAGCCGGCAAGGTACACGTACCTCGTCAACTGGAAGGTTTCCCTTCCAGTCAGCAAGGTACACGTACCTCACCGGCTGGAAGGTTTCCCTTCCAGTCAATGAGGTGCACGTACCTTGCCGGCTGGAAGGTTTCCCTTCCAGTCAACAAGGTACATGCCTTCGGATGCAAAGTGACCATCTCTATATAGAGTATTCTTTTTTGCTTGAATATAAGTGCCCTCAAAAAATGCACAAGCCTGTACCCAAATCACAGAAGAATCACACCCTCTCTTGAAAATGTGGTTGCCCTAGTGGTTTTGCCATCTTTCATAATCTGAAAACAAACACCCTAACTCTGAGAGTAGAATGGCAATGGCATCACAACCATGACCCATTTTCAGCAGAGGGAATGAAGAAGAACCAAATCCCTAAGATGGTGGATGACTGGCTTACTGATAGGATCATATTGGGCCTCAGTTGGGAAGCAATCCACCAGTTGATGTGGTGTCCCGGCATGTCAGACACTGAGACACTAGCCCAGGTGTCTACAATAGAATGTAACCCCTTTGGGTTACATAATAAATATTATTATATGTAATTTTTAAGTTAATAAATATGCAGTAATGTTATCCTCTTTTATGTGTATTACATATGTTAATAAATATTAGTAAATTAATAAAGATTTACCTATTTCCTGAAAGTTATATTCAAGTTGAAAAGGACAATTATATTTCATGAGTATCAAAGAGATTATTATCCTGTGTATCTCTGTTGTAAATACTTATATTCTAGTTTATCTCTCTTATGTGTATCTTCTGAGATAAGAGAGATTTTCCTCACATGTACTTTAATCTTCTTAGAATATATTGACATTTCTCCCCAAGAAAATAATATAACCTTATGGGGACTGTACCGGTCCTACAAGCAGACTG